AAGGATTCAAGTAGGAAAGGAAAACTATTTTGACCAACATTTATGTTTGTATTCACTGGCCGGACAATTATGTTTAACCATTTAGGGTATAGAATGCAATTGTGAATACAATGATATGATGCGGGGTTCAAGTATGTTCCACAAATACTCGAGGGATCGGAAATACTTGAATTAATGTTGGAAAATGAGTTCGAGGTATAGTGAGATGTGATGTTCCTCATGTAGTAGAGCTACTATATATCCCTAACAGGTTTATAGTACCGTGAGCTCTATTATTACTCTTTGGTCACACGATCTATTTGCTGTATGAATTTTTGTGAGATAGATCTTGAGAAGGATCTAAGGTGTGACATTTGTTGTCATTTGTGGTTCGGATCAACCCCATCATGTACGAGTGGGAGATGTTGGAAAATACGGATAATGGGTCGCCCATGTGGGGTGACCCGACCCACAGGATTTTAAAAGGGTTGGAGAGAGTGGTTTGAATTTAGAATTCAAACTTATAACTCCCAAGTAACCACTTGAAACTTCTATATAGAAGTTATGGAAAAAGGAACAAAAAAAGTGGCATGAGAAAAAATGGTAAAAAAAATTCGTATGTAAATTCACTCTAAAATTGAAAAATCCCTAGAATCACATTTTTGGCATGAAATCTCACAAGAAATGATACTTAGATTGTGGATAATAATCCTCTTCCATTGTGATCGGGATTTGGACCATTAGAGTACAAGAAAATGCAAATTTTAGAGATTTGAAGGCAAGGTGATTCAACCACACAAAGATCTTGAAATTCATTATTTCAAGTAAGTTTGTTGACCCGAAATTCATGTCAAAACATGCTACAATTTTCCTACATCAAGAATTGAAAGGTTCAAGTTTTTATCTCTTATTATTCAACAAGGAATAAGCAAATTGTGGTATTGAGATATGAATTCATTGTCTCTTATGTATCAGTTCCAGTTATTGATTCAATAATACACATGGAGATTCGCAATGTATATAATTGCACCCTAATTCAAAGAACAATTGGCTTTGGCTTGCATACATGATTATGCACTTATTTAGGCCATTATTCGAAGATCTTTTGCCTGCATTCAAGGAGTTTTAGGGTCAATTTCTAGTTGATTGCATTTGGTTTGTGTTTCGTAGTACAAAATCCTGACTTTACATTGCATTGTGATAAAAGCAGTGAAACTGGTAATAAAACACTGGTTTAGGAGCTATAATAGAAACTCAAAGATGAGAATGGAAAATGGAGGATGAGAGAGAGGAGAAAATAAAAAAGATCCGAAGTATTCTGGAGGGGCATTGAAGATTTTAAGAAAGGAAAGCTAAATTAGATAATTTAAAGTTGAAGTCAAAAGAAGGCTATTCATGCAGAACAAGTGAGGAAATTGAAGCAAAACATTGTGGTAGGGGAACCTATCCCCTTCTGTGACTCTCTCTGTGTTGATGAAGCCCAGAAAACACGTTGAGAAACCAGTACAATCAACTTTACAGAGACGCCACAGACAGCAAAAATGTATTACTTGCTCCAAGAGTTATAACCATGCTATTCGTGTTTTAAATGGTGAAGAAGTATTTGGACAATAATCGTTCAATCCTATACAAATAAATGATGCTCTGCAAGAAGTTATAAGACGAAGAAATGCTTTCAAGAGGGATCCAATCTATTCGACCCATATGGATTACCACAACGATGGATTCAAGCTTCTTTGCTACATGGTCAATGTTATTTCTAACAATTTGATCTAAAAGGAACCATATTGCACATTGTCTCAAGCAGCGGCAGCGCACTTGCTGGAGGGAAATTTTTTGGTCTGAACCTGAGGTTGTTCTAAGCCATTTCTAACTGACATATTCCAATTAAAAGTATTTTTCTCAATAGTGTTGCTTCTGTTTGTTTTTATATGGTCAAGGTTTTTGGGAAATCTCTACCTATGAATAAAGTTTAGACTTATATACACTCATCAATTTCTTGAATAATTTCATATTGTGATTGTTCTAACAGTTTATCAGGCAATGTTCTTACTAGCCATAAACGGTGTTGCTGATAAATGTATTGTATTTATATTTTTTCAGGAATCTCTTGTAGTTCTGTGATTCTTATGGATTCTCAATATTTCCTTGCAACTATGTAGAAGTTCACAGTGTAGTTTAAAAAGGTTGCAGTTTGGTCTTTTGAGATCGATTATGTACAACTAATCTCAAATATTATGTTGCACATTCCCATTTTTGAATGGTTTTATATCTGAGCATTTCCAATTTTTTGGTACATATTTTCTAAGAGATTCTAATATTTACTACAACTAAATTACTTGGGTCTTGAAACTGTTAATTCCATATTTGAATGCTTTTAGTAAGTATAGTCTGTGCTGTTTCACCTCAATTACTGCTATGAAATGAGAGTCTAGAGCTGCTGAGTTTAGTTTACATTGTAATGCTTATTTGCATGTGAGAAATTCTATCTATTTTATTCACTGTTTTAAAAGGCGCACATTGGTGGCGGCTAGGCATCGCCAATTCGCGATGCGTAGCGGAAAGGCCAAACTGAGTAGCTTGGTGCCTTATTTAGTGGTCAAAAATAACCGTTGACCCGTTATGCATACCTATAGGGCTATAAGCAAAAACCGCAATACCAGAAAATCGAACCGAAACCGCATTTTAGAAACCGTCGATTTGGTGCCATGTGGACCCGGTCAACGAAATGGTTTTGACCCAAACCAAATCGGTTAAAATAGTTTGGTTTAGGTTTGAGAATTTTAATTAAAACCAAACCGGACAGGTGAAAAAATATATAAAAATAAAAAAATGAAAAAATGAAATTTTTTGAAAATTGATCCAAATATGTAAAATTCAATAATTTTGTTATTTGTGGGTATTTTTGTCAATTCTTAATTTTCTAATACAGATATATTATTATTATTATTATTATTATTATTATTATTATTATAAATATATAAAAATGAAAAAATGAAATTTTTTGAAAATTCATCCAAATATGTAAAATTCAATAGTTTTGTCATTTGTGGGTATTTTTGTCAATTCCTAATTTTCTAATACAGATATATTATTATTATTATTATTCAATAATCCTAATATATATTTAATAATTTCAAGACTAACATAATTTATCAAAAGCCTTTTTCCTCTTTAAAATTTAGATGAAATCCAGTCGACACCCAACACAGTTTTGAGCCACCGGCACCGCACACTCTTTTTCAGATTCTTCACGCCTCTTCAAAATTGAATTGAAGTCCATTATACCAAATCAGAAACAAAGAGATCTTAGACATTCGGTGATAATATTTGCTACAAATAAAGTTTCAGATCAATAATTTTTTGGAGCAAACTAAGGTAAGAATCTGAAATTAAATGTGTTTCGTAACATCATACAAACGTAAATTTGTGTAATTATTATGTTTAGATATTATAAATAATTGTTTTATTATTGTGGTTGTTTATTCTCTTTGTTTAATCAGTATCCCTTTTTTCAGATATGATGATCATGAAGTCTTGTTAGACATCATTATGTTTTTTGGACCTTATATCTAGTTTAGTAGATTTGTATTGTAACGTTATTGTATCGTCATTAGCCCAAAAAAATTTGAATAAAAATGAAAAAAAATTATATTTTAGTTTATTGTGATTTCACTTTGATTTAGTTGATATTTAAATTTATAGTAGATATATTTAGCCCCTGTTTGAACCATATTTTTCATATCATCATAATGAGAAAATTGACTATTGGAGAGGAGGCTAGGTCCCACACATGAAATAGCAGGTCAACAAAGATGGCTAGACTTGTGGAATAACGGTCTAAATTTTCATTTTCTTGTTCCAAAAATTTGGTTCAAACAGGGGCTTAGTTTGTTTTAGATTTATTACGAGTGAGATATAAATATATATTAAATTCAATGAATTAATGACATAAAAGTAGACGTGCAAAAAAATATATGGTGAAACCGACGGTTTAAAACAGGACCAAACCGTTAGGTTTAGGTTTGATTTTTTTTTCAAACCCTTCAAAATGATTTGGTTTAGGTTTGAGTTTTTCTCAAACTGTTTTAAACGGTTTGGCTTGAAAATATGTCAAAAACTGGTAAAATCGGACCGCTTACGCCCCCTAGGCGCGCATAATTATCATTTATTTATTTTTTATTATTATTTTCTTTTTTACAGTTTTTCTAAGTTAAAATTTAAATATTGATTTCTTCATTTCATCGGTTCTAAATTCAAAATAGCCACTTGAAGCCTTAAACAAAGGAAATCTCCCAAAAATTTCTATTTATTTACTATTTAATATTTATATTTGGAAATTTATTTATTTATTTTGTTTAAAACTTTGAAAAAAAAATGTATAATTTCCTATAAAATTGATTTAGATATATGGTTGGTATTATTTTTAATTATTAAATAGTTTTTTGATTGATTAAAAATTAAAATAAGAAAACGCTTTTTTAAGCCTAACTTGAACTCATTTAGCCCATAGCTTAGCCTCCACGTAATTTTATTGCAATTGGTTGACGCCTTTTTCTGCATTTCTTTATTAGAGAATCTATTCTCGTTCTTTTGAGATTAAATTCAAAGAACATGTAGTTTCATAGAGGAAAACTGCGAAAAGAAGACACAGGCATACTCTAATTTGCTACATTAAATTAGCAAAAAAGTTGAGAAATTATATCACATGCGTTTCTTTAATTATGCCTGTCCAGCAACACCATATATTTCAGGTTCTAAATACGGACAAAGTATCGTATTGAGCTGCAAATTTCTGTTGAGTTTGTTGTTTTAAGACTTTCCTAATGTAACAGCAGAGAATTAATGTCTTTGACTAAAATTTATCTTTGTAACCTAAGAACAATAAATTTCAAGTAATGACACTTTTGTCATATTTTTTATTACTATGGTCTAATTACTATAAAAAATAGGGTCATAGACTTTCTTGATCACTCGACAAATAAGAAAAGCAAAACAACTTGAGAAAAAAAAGAGCAAAAATGGCTTCTTTCCTACACAACTTCTCATCTGTGTTGATTTCCATGGTTCTCATTTTCTTGCTTGTGGTTCCATCTTTAATGTGCCACTCAATGGAGGAAAAAGATCTTCAGCACATTTGCTCCAAAACCCAGAATCGTACAGAGTGTTTGAATCTGTTTAAATCAGATCCCAGAAGCTTGAACACAGATATAAAGGGCCTAACAGGAGTTGCAGTCGACCTGGCGTTGAACAAATCCAATGCAGTCCACACCCAGTACAATCAACTTTACACGGACACCAAGAATTCTGAAATGCAGGAGAAATATATTGCTTGCTCCAAGAATTACAATGATGCCATTCGTGATCTTCAGGTGGTGAAGAAGTATTTAGATATTAATCGTACTAGGTTCATTTCTGTTGAAATAAACGATGCCCTGCAAGAAGTTATGAGTTGCAGAAATGTTTTAAAGAAGGAACCAATCGACCCGGCCAATATGGATTACCAGAACGAGGAATTCAAGCTTCTTTGCTACATGGTTAAGGTCACTTCCCACTATTTGATCCAGAAGTAACCATATTTGTGCTCTGTCTAAAGCGCTGCAGAGCAGTTGCCCCCCTGGAGAAAGAATTTTTTTTTGGTCACTGTGGTCTGAATTTGTCTTAGTTCTAAGCCATTTTTTTATGACATGATTCCAATAACAGTTTTTTCTTTTTAATAGGATCAAGGTTTCTCGGAAATCCCTTCCCGAATAAAGTTTAGTCTTTTATACACTACTCATTTCTTGAATTATTTCATGTTATTGTTCGTCGGTCAATGCTCTTACAAGCCTTAATGGTATAACCGATAAGTTGTCTACCCATCTCTCATGATTTCAATAGGGTCGTCTGAATGCAGTATAATGTACTTGTTGAAATTGATTATAGCTTTGTTTGTCTCCAAGGGAAAATTATACAACAAGATTATGTTTGGGCCAGTTTAGCAGCCACTTATTTCTTCTCATTTTTTATTTATTATTATTTTTTATTCTCGTTTAATATTTGTGATTTTGGTGGGAAAAAAAAGGGACCTCACATATTTAGAAGCACAATTGAACTCCAAGAGCTTGCAAAAAATTGGGATATAATTTGAATATGAATGCATAATCTGACAATTAGTATCTAAGATGGCAGGATACACTTATAATCAATTACAAACTTGTCATTCAGCAGGACTATCCATGGGTCCAACTCCAACCCGAAGTTCCAATTTTATGTGTTGAGACTCCAAATTCAAATCAATGAAAACAGAATCTTGGTTATTCCTGTTACGTGTATTAGTGCCAAGTTTAAGTGTTGAATCTGGAAAGGAGGTGAGATCTTCAAGAATTGAAAGGTTCAAGTTTTTATCTCCTATTATTCAACGAGGAAAAAGCGATTTGTGGTATTGAGATGTGAATTCATTGTCTCTCATGTATTAGTTCCAGTTATTGATTCAATATACACATGGAGATTCGTAATGTATGTAACTGCAGCCTGCTTCATAGAACAATTGGCTTCGGCTTGCATACACTTATTTAGGCCATTATTCCAATTTCTTTTGCATGCATTCCAGGAGTTTAGGATCAATTTCTAGTTGATTGCATTTGGTTTGTGTTTCGTTGGACAAAATTCTGACTTTACTTTGCATTGTGATAAAAGCAGCGAAACCGGTAATAAAACACTGATTTAGGAGCAATAATAGAAACTCAATGATGAGAATGGAAAACGGAGGATGAGAGAGAGGAGAAAATAAAAAAGATCCGAAGTATTTTGGAGTGGCATTGAAGATTTTAAGAAAGGAAAGCTAAATTAGCTAATTTAAAGTTGAAGTCAAAAGAAGACTATTCGTGCAGAATATGGGAGCAAATTAGAGCAAAACATTTGGAATAAAGGTCTCCACAAGATAAATGATACACCATTGGATACATAATTGAATTAGGAGTCAACTCATTTTATGAATGATATTTATAGTGTCCTATGAGAAGTTGTGTATGATTTACTGGAGAATGCTCCATGGAAAGGGCAGAGACGAAGATGCTGGCATTTACTGAGGCCAGAAAATTGAGCGGGCATCTTGAAGTCATGATGGCCCGAAACACTAAAAAAGTAGTTTTAAGATTTTTCTTTTGGATATCTGGAACATCAAGTTTTTAGGATTTTAGAAAATCTCTCTCTCTCTCTCTCTCTCTCTCTCTCTCTCTCTCTCTCTCTCTCTCTCTCTCTCTTTCATTTTCAAACCCTATCATTTTTTCTATCTCTCTCTCTCTCTCTCTCTCTCTCTCTCTCTCTCCCTATATATATATATGTATGTATGTATATCACAAGTCCAGGAAGAAAGAAAGAGAATTTTGGTGACAAAAACACCACGACTAATCTCAAGAAAGAATACATACACTAGGTTTCTTGGTTTTCAAGAAAGAAGAAGGAGAATCATTTAAGAGATTCAAAGATCAAGACTTTTCTTCCATATGATTCTATTGATGATTTATTTTATATCGAATATGTGATTTTGTAACTCAATTAAGCTTGGCTAGATTTCTTAACACTAGGATGAAGATGAAACCTTGTTTTTGAAGATTTAATCATGCATTCTTGTTTTTTTACTCTAACCATTTATTTAATCTGAATAATTGCTATTGTCTTATTGTCTTTAAATGCTTGATCACCAATTGGACTGTGGTTTGTTTTGTTTTCGGGAGGTGATAACAATTATCATAAAATTTGATAGAAGGTAGGGATATACCCCTATATTTTGTGTGGTAGTTAATTCACTATCATAGCTTTCTACGCATTTTTGCAAATTCACATCTTTCGTAAAAATATAATGAGGTCATATGTAAAAATTAGTTCAAGTCTACTTAGCAGAGATTATTGAACGAATTATTGAATTTGGAATATTAAGACACATGAAACACAAAGACAAGAGAAAGGTCTGAGTGACTTTTACTAAGAGTAATTCCAATATGGAAAAGGTTGAAAATATGCTTTTCCATTTTCTCTCATTTCAATACTTACAAATTCGATTTGTCTACAAAACCCAATCAAAGTAATTCGCCCCCTTCTCAAGTTCCAGATATCAATTCTTTCACTTGGTGTTCATATGTTCATATTCTAAGACATTAACACTCACTTTGCCTTGAACTTGAACTTAGGTAGGCTTAAACTTCAGCCTCAATATATCATCAAATTCATTCAAATATTGTTAACTACAAGAATTGGGGTTAAGCTGAAGAAAGAGGTGGATACTGAATCTTAATGCCATTTCCAATTTGAGTTTTATACAAGGCTTATCAAATCACTTTTATTTGCTTATTAATTTAGGAATAATAGTTGTAGAGAGGAGTAATTATCAACCACCAAGGCGATATACAGGCTCAGTTCACCAAGAAATCGAATCAATACCAAAGAAAATGACCCAAGAACACCACAAAGGTTTCACCTATGGTTGCTAAGCTTTTGCCACTTCAAGAACACCACAAAGGAGGGAAATATCACCAAGATATATGTCTTAAAGAGAATGGTAGAAGATGGAGATAGAGAGGCCGAGAGAAATTACGCAGGAAGGAGAAAGGGACACCAAGTCTTTTTTCTTACATAGTGGTGTGAAGAAAAAACGGGAATATATTGGACCAAGTCACAAAATATGGTAAGTTAAGTTTTAGGTAATGGGTAAAGGTCCAATACCATATAAGTGGACAATAGTGTGGGTCTCAAAATTAGCTAGTCATCCAAATAGGTGAAAACATAGCCCATGAGCAACACAACTTAATTAGTTGCTTCAAAAGGACCAATCACTTCTTAGGTTGGGTCGTTAAAATTTGGTATCAATTAATTGCTCAGTCATATCGCAATCGTCGACTGATATTAATAAACGGTTTACATCATCGCCCAGAAGGTCATTTGATAACAATATGTCCAACAATAGTTAAAAAGAAACCAAAACATTTAATTCGTGTTTGATATAATTAGTTTTAATTAAGTAGAATCTAAAGAAGAAATCCCCGATTCCTCATGGGAATGATGCTCTATTCATTACTTTCTTACTTGCCCATGATACTTTATACTCTTTCTCTAATTCTTAGAGATTACAGATTCTCAGTTTTCCTTAAACTGCATAGAAGTTTTATTGAGGCTTAACATAGTGTACAATGTCGTATCAAAAGGTTTCCGTTTGGTCTTTTGACACCAAAAGGTGTCCAACTAATCCAATTTCTATTCGTTATGATATTATATTGCCATTTTTTTTATGTTATCTCTCCTAAATATGCTTCAAATCTCTTAGCCTTTCCATTTATTGGGACATATTTTCTTGGAATTTTATTTGTTATAATTAACAAGCAGCAATCCTTTGTGGGTCTTGGAACTATTGATGCCAAATTTTGATTGCTTTTTGTGTGTATGATATGAGTTGCTTTACCTCGATTACTGATTATGAAATGAAATTTTGGAGTAGCTATGTGATTTGTGAGTTTACATTATAATTGATTATTATCAATAGAAGAAGCATATTTGTAGAGAGATGAGCAGAAGCAGTAGGAGGGGGAGGAGAGAAACTAGAGAGAAAATGGGAAAGAGAAAAGACAAGGGAGTGGAAACGTGGGCATTCGAAGTTCAATTACAAATCATATAAATAAAAAAAAACAACAAAATTGAAGTCAAGGGCTTGGACTTGCCCATTCATATAAGCCTAATTACTAAAGCACATATAAAAGTCCATAATAACAAGAGCAGAGATATAGATATCCTCATCATCTCTTTGGGGATAGTAGAAAAACTCGACTTTGTCGAGTGGATAAATCACAAAAGGTGGCAATCAATCTTCCAATCATTAGCTAAGTGACGATTATAAATACGTGTCACCGGTTATCTGAATTTGTTGTCTCTACCAAATCAAGCAAAGGAAGATCCTGCTGCTTATAAAGCTTCAATAAATCTGGATCAAGCTGCTAGAGTATCCATTTGAAAATCCATGTACAATCAGAATAATGATGATCTATCTAACAAACATGGAAGCTCCGAATCTCTTCATCATTGGTCCACACAATCTATTAAACTAAAATAGCATCAATTTTATCTTTACGTGCTGTGATAGATGGTATTGGATTAGAAATAGTTACAAATTTAGGTTGCTATGCCATCGATGGATGTGGAACAAGATCCTCTGAAAGATTAAAATGGCTTTTTCAAACAACTAAGTCCTCAATATTGAAAGTAGAGTGGTAGCCAAAATGTAAGGAAATATCAATGACATATGTATTTGGACTAACACATTTCAATATTTTAAAAGGACCAGCACTACGGGTTTGCAACTTAGAAATAGATCCAAGTGCTGTTCCTATCTAATTTGGATCATAACATAATTGCCAATATTAAATTTGACATGTCGTTTATCTAAATCAACTCAAAGTTTATATGATGCATTATTTACTTCAAGTTGCTTACTGATCTTAATATGCACCCATGAAGGCATTGTATAAATGCCTTAGCTGATACAGACACACTAGCATGTGGAGAAAAGGGATTCATATGTATAGGTAAATTCACAGAACCTTTA